ATATCTCCGAACGAGTTCTTTAAATTGAATTTCAAGACTTAATTAATGTTCTGTAGAAAACTAGCGTTGCTGCCTGTATCAAATCTTTAAAAGCACATTACATCGCATATAAACTCTAATGGTGACTGTTTATTAGAGTGGGCGGTAAATTGATTAATTTATAGCTAAATAAGTATACGTATAGTAATTGTTTATCCGTGTCATTTTCCCCGCTGCCATAAAGCCATGTTTCCAAATGTGATCGATTAATTTGAAATCATTCTCGAGTCGAGACGTAAAAAAAATGAAATAAATGAAGAATATAATAAAAAAAACAAAAGATGTTGCGATATTATTAGCAACATTTTGTTGAAACACTTTTTTTTATGATTTTACACTTAAAACTGTTTTCAGTTGATATAAATTTTCTACTGTGCATATAAAATGTAATCTACATAGCCTTAAAACTATAAATATATCTCGAAGCGGTGGTATTCAAAGATTTAATTTCAATATTTCGTAAGTATCACTCGACGAGCTTTCATCATTCAACTTTGTGATCTTAACAATTTTTCCTCTCTCACCCAAAAACGACAGAATTTTAATTAATATTTTTAAGAAGGCTTGTCCTCCCCCATTCGCAGTAACGCTTCAGTTTCCAACTGACGATCATGAATGAAAAATACATATCAGCTTCAACTAAAAATAATTTATAACACATGTGTAAAGATTTTCATTTCTTTCTACATATTTCTAAATAGAAAATTGTTGAAAATTGTTAGCAAAATATGGTTGGGTAAGAACGATTGGGAAAATCTCCCTTGAACCTGTCAGCGATCTTATTTTCATGAAAAAAGAAAAAAAAGTAAAGAAGCTCGTCTTATTTAAGATAAAAGTGAATCAAATGTAATTATCGAGATGTCAGAAAACTCGTTCTTGTTCTCTCATCTAATCAGTTATGAGAAACGATGATAAGTTGTTAAGACAGTAAATATCTTTCTAGATAATTTTTGACTTTGACGTCAAACCTATTCGCCTTTCAATGATGTCTCAATGATACTAAACGTGGGTTCATTAGCTTTTCAAAACAGAAGATTTCATCATGCCGTAGTCTCGAAGGTTGTTCTGTATATATTTGAGTTGAGGTTTTACAAAGAAAAATGTGACTTATCATTCTACAAAATGAGTAATCACGCGAATGAGATCTGAATTTATCATACATTCAAATGTAGATTGTAAAATCTTGTACTGTAATTATCACCGTGAAAGAGCATGTTTCATATAGCTACATAGGTGTTGTATGAGTTGAGTCATTTAAAAAACCCACACTACTGTCATTGCCAACATATTCATATTTGATATCGTGCTGAATAATCACAAGCTTAATTGCATCATAAATTGTAGTTAGTATGTAATAATGTTTATTTCACGATTGTGGCTTTCTTTAAACAAAAACTAATGAACATTTTTTTTAATTTGATAATACAAAATAGCATTGAGTTATCGATATCGCTCTGTGAGCCCACAATTTTCGTTAACATTATTGATTACGCATGATTGCTTACATTAACCCCAATGGTTAACCTAAATTTTCTTTTTATATACTTTTCAATCTGACAACTGCATCTCATCTAGAAACAGTTGAAGGATTGTTCATTTGAACTCATACTGAACTAGTAAGTTTGAAAAAGTTTTGTTTGTTTTCAAGGAACGAAAAAAATTTAGTCTCGAAATCATTTTTTTCTTTTGGTTTTTTAAAAAAGACCATCAATCAAAGCTCCGACCGTAATCAATCATAATGTTTTTGGAGGCTCTTAACAACCTCCAGAGATTTTACCATTAGGTTTGCTGTTACTTTCGTACATCTCGAAAGCGAATGAAGATTGGAATGTTGAAATATCAGACATTCGACTCTTATTTTCGTTAATCATGATTTTAATAATGGCATCAATTGAGTCATAGGGATAAAGGTAAACAACACAACTGTCAACAACCTTGAAACACGTCAAATCAGTAACTGCAATCACAAGCTGTGCCGTGTTTACGCAAAAATTACTAACTCGAAGTGATATTTCTCCGGTTTGTAAACAACAATTTATTTGAAACACGAAACTTCATTAAATTGACGACTTTTTCTTTTACGTGCCAATCATCATCTTAAGTAGAAGCGTCACACATCATATTCTTAAGAAATCAAATATCTATCAGATAATAAAACACGAAAGATATTGACAAATAGATTGCGTTCGCAATTATCAAGAAGTCGTTGATGACGATGATGGAAGAATTTCAATTAACTTTTGATGACTTCAAAGCTCGATTACATAGAGAACGTTTACAATTTATTTACGTTGTTCAATAAAAAGAAATGACTTCCCTCTCTCTCACTCTTTCTCCATATTTGAGTATGATAAAATACATGTTGGAAAGCTAGACGTAATTATTTATCAATAAAAAGAAATAGCAAAGCTAACTGCAAACTTTTGTGATTTGATTTCAATCTTAATTCCATATAAACTCCAAATTCAACCTCTGCTTTTTTTCTCTCTTTAACTCTTCTTCGTTTTTCAACAACATTTGAGTTTCTTGACATTGGATTCGTTCCATCTCAGTCAGTACACTTCTCGAATTCATTATCATCGTCCGACCGGCTTCTTTTTACCCAAAAAAAAAGAACTTAAATAAATTCTCTTATTATTCAGCTCATGTAGTTTTCTATGTAAATTTTCCAGTGTGAAATATATTTCACTTTATGGTATTTGTTATATTATTGTACTGTCATGAGTTGAGGGTTTGTTTCAACTAACCTCCATATGATCAAACGTGGATGTTGATAGAATTTAACAATGAATAAAAACATCAAACAGGCAAAGCCAGTTCAAATCTTAAATGACAATGAACACATTAAAGTGAAGCGCGCTTTTGAAAAATAGATTTTAGCTTCCTCCATCTCTTCGTTTGTGTTTGTCTCCCATTCGTCAACGCACAATGTGAGAATAATCCAGAGAAATCCAATGACTCATGCGAGGCCTCACAGTAAGACACATGTGAGAGTCTTGAGTCAAATCAGAAGAAAATCTTAACATATGATGTATAGCTTACGCTCTCTCGCTCGCTTACTCTCTCTCTCTCTCTTGCCTTCAACGCTATTTTCGTGATTTTCTGTAAATTACCACGAACATCGCAGATAAAAAACAAAATTTCTGGCTTATTCATTTGGATAAAATGTCAATGACGTGTCGTTTTAGAAGATTTTTTCTCTGACTGTTCCTTTAATGTGCTTATCGTGAATTCAAATGTGAGCAGTGAAGGAGATAAAGTGATGTCACGAATAAATAAATATCTATCCACGATGAATGTGTTTGTAATAAAAGTTTATTTTTCTCAATCTTCAAAATTTAATATCCAACACATTGATCGTTGAAAAGGTATTTGATTCATTTTAAGTGTTTGTATTCAAGTATCTCGTTAGATTGAAATTCAAGTTAATTAACCGCAAAGTACGTATATGCTTACTCTCTGGGGGCTTTGTCTCGTTCTTGTATATCTTTTGAAAAAAGAACTGTGGTCTGTGAGTGTTGAGAATATAAAGTGAATGATAAATGATTTATTTAAAATGGAAAAAAAAACACAAAATAAGAATAAAAGAAAAGATTTCAATATGGTCGTTCCTTAACTAAAAATATTTGCAAATTTAGTTGAAGATTATGACTTTCCTCAGTCATATCAACACTTCACTAACGAATAAACATCTCGGTGAATTTTTGAGCATTGAAACAGAAAGTTTATCTCGATTGCAAGCAACATGCATTTAATAACAAATGATCAGATATAAATGTGGGCAGAAATGAAATTAAAAATTGTACATGCCTGTTATTTGCATTTCACACTGCAATTGTAAATAATTATGATTACAACTCAGGAACATGATAAATTTTAAAACGTTTTATATTAAATCAATGATTGTTATTGTTTTTCCTTTTAACTTAGACTTGACTACTTCCGGATAAGTAATTTTGTTTCCATCTGAATATGCAGAAAAGAAGAAAAAGTTGAAAAAGACTCAAACAATTTTAACACTTCCATTGACACTGCAAAAGTCATTTAATGTCTGATTGTTTTAGTGCAGTTGCTCGTGACAAATGTCTTTCGATGACCTTTCATTTTAATAATTTTATCGATCTTAAGATAAAATACTTACTCGAAAGAAAAGGGAAAAGAAAACTTTCTATAAGCTGGAGTATTAAAGTTTAAGTAAATTAAATCCAGATTAATCATTTCTTTCTATTAATAAAGCTTATTCGAAATTCAAATATCTTAAAATAAAGCTATTTAGTTAAAGTCACCGTGGAAAAAGCAGTCATGCCAAACAACTTGGGGAATTTTTATCTCTTTCAACTAAACTCGAATGCAGGCAACTCATACAAATTGAAATTTATTAAATTTTTCGATTTTTGTTCATAAATTATATTTTTATCTAACTCGTTTGAAATGCAATCGAGCGTAGTTTTTAAGAGAAAATTTGCAATATGAATGACAGAATGATAATTTCAACAAAAACAAAAATTTATGTGAGTAGATAAATATCTAAGACTTGGAATTTAAACTCTCTAATGCACGATGTTCATGCGGACATGAAATGCATCGAAGAAAAAGATATAACAGTGATGATCATTTCATGTCAATGACATCATTTCTTAGTTCAACTAAATATATTTGTTTAAGATGATTCTTCAATTAAATTTTTTGATTATTGTTTGTCTTATAATTTACGAGCAAATGATCAGTTTCACGGATACAGACAGACCCATCAAGATTGATGGAATTAAGCAAATTGAATTTGCGTGAATGCAATTTGCATCGTGCTGTGTTGTTATTCAAACCTCGTCTTATGTCGATGTTTTCAGAAATTATAACGCCACTGGAGTTTCTTCCGGAAACTTTAAACAGATGAACTTCATTGTTACCACAGCAACTTTTCTCGTATGAATATGAACTGTGAGTACAAGGTCAAATCGACATCATAATTTTCCAGTGTTTTCATCCAATGGCATTGTCCAAAGGTGCATTAAACTGCAAAAAAAAATCTGCCTACACGGGGCTTCTCTTGCTATAAATAATTCATCATCATAACTGTAGCTGCTTTTTTTTATTGCCACTTTTCTGCAAGTGTTGAGAATACAGACAATGTTTGGCTACTTAACATTTAATAATATATAAAAGAAAAAAGAAGGAATGAGAAAATTACACGAAATTAAAAATCAACCAAAATGCAATTCCGCTTTAAGCGAATTCACCGAAAGTTGCATTAAAAAATGAGTAAGACAAGTTCGCGAGTAAAACGGCGCTATAGTGAATCAAATTAGTAACATTTTGTAATATGTGCAAGCCACAAGTGCAAAGATTCATCTCATTAAGATGCATTAAATTTATGACCCAGAACATCATCATAGTACTGTTGTGTGATTACCCTCGGATATTATACATACTCGTATTTATATTTATATAAATATAAATGAATAGATAGATGTAAATGTCAGACCAAGAGCTTTGTTCTCGGATTACAGATTACTAAGCGTGATTGTCGGAAAGAGAAATAAATGAAGAAAATCTTCTTGTTTTTTAACGATCGCATTTTATTATAAAAGAAATGCATTTTCGCAGAAAGACTCATCAAAAATGCGTTGGCAAAAGCTGGCATGCTGTTGGCAAAGACTGATTGCATGTAGAAATGAATTGTGACCTGAAAAATGTTGCTAAAATTATCATGTAAAAAGGAAAATGTTTTTTCATGAAAATTTTCCATCACAGAAAATATTTTCTTTCGTCTCTGATAAATATGGTTTGAGTGAAGTCTCATCATGATGTTTACTTATTCAAACATGATCAAAAGATGAAAAATATATTACACACTCTAAGAAAGTTCTTATATATGTACGATGAACGATGATCGATGACATCTCGTCGTTGTCTGCGATCTCACTCGGAATATCACATTTAAACAATTTCTTTTGCCAGTATTGACTTGAATGACTAAACTGTACAAGAAATAATGAAACATCCTGGATCTCAGAGTGGCAGAGTGTTATGAAACAACATAAGAATTTAGATATGTTCGATATTGTAATTTACCAGATGTACGTTTTTCTTTTACTTAAATGCATCGAAGTCACAATAAATGTAAACAGTGCAAAAGTCAATATTAAACAAATAATTTTGCACTGCCATGAACAGCTAAGCTTACATTACAAATGAATTAAAATGTATATAATAAAGTCTGTTGCTATTGCCAAACAGCTAAAGCATTTTTGCAAACTATTTACATTAGCCACACTATATCAAGGGCTAAACTGATAGATTCTTGTTTTTTTGTCATTCAACAAAATGCAATCTGTCTAATTTCACACAATTTGTTTATTTAACTAAAAAGATGAAGAAAAGTTGAATTTAAAATTTGCACATTTACATGAACTACAAATGTGCGCGGCATGAACGTAGTTGTAAAAGATCAACGAGAAATGAAAACCATATTGAACTCTCTTTCTGCTTTAAGATTACATTTTATTAACTATGAGGTGGGGAAGACTAATAAATCTAACAATTGAAGTAAAGTCACGAACTTTTCTCGAAAGAAAATTCTTTCGTTTTATTTCTGCCAACTTCGTCATTTCTCATTGCACAATATTTTGTTTATTTAATCTTCTCGACATGAATTTTTTAAAAAGAGTGCAAAATAATTTATATCCGACATCATTCATTTCAATTTATATCCAATATTGTTAACTTTATTTGATACTTTAAATTTTTTACGCTACAATGTTAGAGTGCATTGGTTTTAAGATATATGCAGATGCCTTGTATTTAAAGGAATGAACGATAACTTTGTTAAGAAAACATCAAGAATGGATCAGACGATTAAAGAACTAGCTTTTGTATACATTAACATGTACACACACGCCTTAACAAAGCGACTTATTTGGCAGCTGTTGGGTGTTAAATTTTGTTGCCGTTTCCTTCTTCAATCGTCTTCAGTTTCAATGGAAAGAAACTTAACGATAACGACACATGAACGAGATATATAAAAAATCATTAGGTCACAGATGGAAGACGTAATTGCGCACACGGAAAGAGAGTTTTGTGCAATCTCATTCATCATCGTTGTCTGCATGTCTCGTTCCTTTCTCGCTTCGGAAAACGAAATGCAAAAAAAAATAAAAACAGCAACATTGCCAGTTTATTGTGCAAACTAATGAACAAATTATGAGTAATAAATGTTCGACATTTAGTGCAGCATCGGGAATTTATTTTCGAAATAATTTGAAGAAACTCTCAAAAGAAAGAAAAGTAAACTGTCGTCTCCCTGGAAAAAATAATCATAGATATTTAGCAACATTTCAAATCACTCAAACATCGAAAGTACTTACAAAACAAAAATGGGATTAAGCTGAGATTTAATGAGATAAATTATTGCACATAGTTTACAATTATCTACTTTCAAATAATTACGAAATGGAAAACAATAACATGGGATCATTCTTCAAATGTTTAATTAAGTTTGATTGATCTTACTGAACATGTTGACATATAAGCTTAAAACGATCGAAGGAAATAAACATAAATAAGTCAATTTATTGAACAAAACTTCACAGCTGCAGACTTCGGTAGTGAGACTGTGTATATAAATTATCAACTGGCAGTTGATAGTGAAGCGTAAAATTGTGTATTATCTATATAGAGTTTTGGAATTTCTGTTTACCGCCACTTTTTTTTTGTTAAACTTTCATTAAAGTGTCAGGTGGGAAGCAAGCAGTGAATAAAATTCTACAATAAAAGGTGTTTTGAGCTTCAAAGTCAAGAAGAAATGAAAGAAACCGGTTTTGGAATTCGATCAAGCCTTGTCAATTACTGATAGCAGTAGAATTTGGAATTTCTTCAATGAACTGTCAGTCTTACTTTGTAAAAAAATTTTTTTAAATGCTAAGGTATAATTAACACATTTGCAATGTAAAAAACAATTTGCAATTTTAATGATTCCCTCCTTCTTTAGTCGTAAGATGTTTTTGAACTTTTCTTTATCCAATGCCAACGAATGATATGAGGCATAAAGTATTCACTTACACTTTGGTTTCGATGAATGTAAAGTGAGATGAAACATGCCACATCCTTCCTGTTCCTTATAAACTTGAACAATAATCAAGGACAGTGGTTGCACCATATTTTGGTGAATGAAAGAATGAAGCCAGATGGCATCAAAAAGTATTCCACACTTTTTTTTGTCAACATTTGGAATTGTTGTTATTACTCAATATTTATCTTAGTTTGAAGGCAAACAAAAACACTTTAAGTCAGTCATAACTTTATGATTTTGAGGGATTTTTAACACTTAACATACAAAAGAAGTTTCGTTGAGCAAATTGATGCCAAACAATGTTATCATTAATTCAACAAAAATTATATTATTTGATACCGAAAAGCATAAATAAATGAAAAGAAAGAAGAAAACGAATAGGTGGGAATGTGACAGCGAGCGTGAGAAAAAACTTTATTTATTCGTGTCGAGTTTTGTTTGCTTAGGTTAACTTGAGCTTGTTTGCTTTTAGTCTCGCTTATCGTGCGTTTTTTTGATAACATTCGTGAATTTTCCTTCATTTTTTTACTTCTTTAAATAATTTGCACGAAGATGCTTAGAGTTGTGTAATTTACCATACATTGCTTCATCATTTTTTACATTTAACTTTTCATTTTTTTGTTTTTCATATTATGCTCGTCTTATTACCATTTTATTAATTACATTTTTTCGTTTCTATTATATCTTCAATGTCCATCTCTCATTTGAATTTCTCAACTCTCGCAATTAGTTTGAGTGAGCATAGTTTTACGAATTTCCATGCTTCAGTTGCAAAATCACTTCTGAAAATTATTCACGCATCGTTATTGTGGCACATAAGAAGAATGATATTTAAGAGAAAACTAAAAAATATAAAAAAGAAATAACGACACGAAAAAAACAAGCTAAGGAATGGGAATTTCGTGCGACACAAGACACTCTCGATATACTTAGATTCATGAATCTGCGGGATTTTCATGTTTGACTCGCTGTGATTTATGATCATCAGAGACAAAATAATTGAAATAGGGAGCTTAAGTGAAGCCATATGGTTTCTTATGGTGAAGTCAGTCATCTTCACTACATTATGTTACATGTGTTCGCGCACGATCATCTAGTATCTAATTGTTGAATCTCATTTCTTTACTTCACACAAACTTGAATTTAAATCCCAAAAATTCAAAATCATTACAAGCAGCCATCATCATTATCATCAGATCATTATGATTTTAACTGATAATTATTAGAAAGTTTAACATGCAAGCTTTGTTTAATTACGAAATTGGCAAGCTGAGACAAGCCAAGTTTTTAGTCGAATGAGAGTGAAATTGAATGTTTATGAAGGCAACAATAACAACAGCAGCAGCATCCGACGCAATACGATCCGATAGACTTCACATTTAAATTTTTTTTCTTTTTTCATTGAAAATTGAAAGTTAATTGCATTATGTATCGCGAAGTATGAAATTATAGCTACAAATACATATGAAGTAGGAAAAAAAAAAGATTATGACTATGCCGTGACCGAGCGGAGTTAGGAGGAGTTGAGAGATAGAAGTGATTGTCATACATAAATATTCCACATCTGTCGAAGCGCTATAAGTTAAGATAGGAAAGAAAATAAAAAAAAATCATAACGAAAAATTAATGTTCGTGATCCATTCTTCATTCAATTTTATTTTGTAAACGCTCTCTGATTTAAATTCGTTTTTATTTTTCTTCTTTCTCCGAAAATACTTTACATGTAGATAGTTATGTAGATATCTGGTGATTATAAATGTTACATTTATCAGTGTTAGGGAGTTTGAAGTAGAAAATTCATCATAAACAAATTATTTGTGAGCAAGAGTGAGAACTGTAAAGAAATTTGAACTTATTAGATATGCGGAGATTGGCTTTTGAAATGCTGTTGTAAACGTTCTTAAAAATGATTCCTGAGAAGTTTCATAAGCGAGACTTTATTAAATATTGCATTTCTAATGAGAAATGAAATAAAAATTGCTCATTGTATCAATCATCTGTTAAATTCTGGGAATGACACAATGGAAGCGATTTAATGTATCCAATAAATGAGATCACATTATGACTTCAAATATGAGAAAAGAGATTTGTTTCAGTTGAATGTAATGCAGCTTTGATTATGTAAACATTTTTTTCTTTTTATTCTGATGAAACTATAATATTTTTCCTTCGTTGCAAAATACATTCGAGCAGCGATAAGTAATCATTATCCGATTTCAATGCTTTCAACAACTCTTTTTTATCCAAAGTGTTACGTGGAAAATGAACTTTCTTTCATAAAACGTCACGAAATCTGAAATCAATTATCTATGCAAAGGTATTTTCATTGTCATGCGACTTTACTTTTTTTTCGGTTACGGGTGAGGCTTAGATTGTATTAATAAGAACTTTTTGTGTTTCGTTTGATAGAAAATTGATTTCTGTTCATTAAGTTAAACTTTAGAAAATCTTTAAAGTTATTAAATAAAATATTGAAGTTCAAAAGTTTCTTAACATTCAACTATGAAATTGAAGCTCTTAAGTAATATTAAAAAACTAATGTTTTATCATTTCTCATTGTTTTTTTTCATAACAGGAAATTATGCGACAATCGTCAGCCAAACTAGATGACCTGTTAGCACCATTTAATGATAAATCATCTACCGCTCCATCAGCTACCGATGAAGAAACAGCAATCGCTGCATTAACGGCATTACGTAACAATAATCACCATTTGAATTTTCAACATCAACAGCATACCAGCAATAATACGAATACAAGCAGTAGAAGTAGCGACACTTCATCACCGCCTGTCTCAAAATCATCTTCAGTTACCTCTCTAATCAGTAGATTTCATTTGCAAAACTTGGAAGCAAATTCCGTTTCTGTGATTCCATTAGACACAACTAAACAGCAATCACAATCATCGACATCCTCAACTCGCACATCTCCATCGCTTGCACCACCTCAGATCAGCGTGAAGAATCTCAGCCAGTTGCAACAACATCTCGAAACGGCGGTCGTGCTGATGGATATGGGCAAGAAAGTTATAATTTCACCGCCCAATTCTAAGCCACAATCACCAAATTTGAACGAACAAAATAACAATAGCAATAGCAGCAATAAAAATAATCATCAAAGTATTACATCCACTGTGATAAAAGTAAGTTTTTCATTAATTCTCTTTCATTCGTTTTTTAATCTTTAAAATTCATTCCAGGCTCAAGATTATTCAATTAGCAACCTTAAGCGAACTCCCAGTTGTGAAGAAATGGATTTGAGTAAGAAGCGAATGAAGACTTCAGATTCACCGAACAATAAACACGGCCAACAACGCCCTCAATCAGCCTCGATGGCTCCACTTTCTATTGTTAATTCGATGATGCCGCAGCTCATTAAATCTGAGGTGATTAAGAAGGAAGTTTTAGATTCAGGCGAGAATGACCACATGAGCGAGAAATCTGACGACAGTTCAGATTCAGGACGTCTTCAAATGGACATTTCGTCTCAAGAAGATAATGAAGAATATAAAAATCTTCCAATTTTAAAACCAATCGGTCGCGATACACCAGAAAGTAATTTTTCAGATGAACAAGCTTTTGAATCTGCTGATCAGTTATGGCAAGCTTTAGCTCAACATTCTCAATGTAAGTGCTTCGATTTGTCTTTTAGAAAACAATTGAAATAATTTGATTTATTTTTGCATTTTTCTTTCTTAGTAAATGGAGGAAATGAAGCTACACAATTGCTTCGTAAGATGATAAATTGTAGAACTTTGGGAATTCCTTTTTCACCACAACTTCATTTGCCTTCGGCGATCGAACAACCAATGGCTCTTTTAAAGGTACTTAAAATTATTTATTCATTTATGCTTACTTTAATAATTTATGTTAAAACATTTGAATATGTCTTCAGGGTTCTCAAAAACAAACTGGTCGTCGAAAGCAAACATGTCCAAGTAGGTCTGGATTGCAAGATTTATCGGGTAAGAAAGTTGGTGGAGCATCACCACTTGCAGCAGGTTCTGGCGATCTTGGTGATACTTCTGGAAACCATTTATGGACTGGCTCGGATGACTTAACAAAAGGCAACAATAACAACAACAACAGTCCGAAGAATACCAACAATAATCAGCAAAGCTCCCAGAAAGATTTGTCTTGTACAAATTGCGGTACAACCACAACAACGATTTGGCGTCGTAACTTACGTGGCGAAATGGTTTGTAATGCGTGTGGTTTGTACTTTAAATTACATGGCGTTAATCGTCCACATACCATGCGACGAGATACAATTCATACTCGTCGACGACGACCAAAGGGTGACAAATCAAATCGAAGAAGTGAGTTTGACAATCAAGTTGTGTTTGATGTTTAATTAATTTGATAAATTTCAATTATTTAACAGAGTCAAAAAATCAAGAAAGCCCTGAACAGGATCAAGACAATGGTGCTAAAACAGATTTAGCTGCTCTCCAAAATCATAATTTGTTAATAGCTTTAGCACGAGGTGGCACAAGTGGTGCAGCTCAATTCGCTATGCCTGTAAGTGACCATAAATAGATTTCGAAACATTTTTCTAACTTCTTTTTGTTATTGTACAAATATTTGCAGCATCATTACCAGTTCTTACGTGCTTCACAATTTCCAGTACAAAGCGAAGGTAGTGGAAACGGCGAGGACGTTGGTGATTCAGGTGATGAAAGTGGTGCTGAAAATGATTTAGATTCATGTAACTTGCCATTGAATCTTGTTGCAACTCAACTCGGTGATTCGTAGGCGAATATTTAAAAGCGATGGAACCAAACAACAATAAATCAAAGTTTTGGTGAAAAACCAAACAAAGAAACTCATTTTTATCTTTTAAGGAAAAAGAAAAAAAGGAAAATTAAAATTAAATGTGCAGAAGTGAAATTTGTTGAGCAAACTTAAAAGCAATATTTCTGATTTTTTATTTAATTTCTGATGAGAATTTGAAATACTGAATAAGTCGTAATAGGAGAAAAGCGTTCAGGAAAAGTTTTGACATGAAAACTTTTCTGAAATTTTCCAACCTTTTCAAACCCTTAAATTGTATCTTTAAAATCTGCACAAAATGAATTTTTTTGCGTTTTCTCCTACGCACCTAACTCACTTAAAATAATTATAATCAAAGTATTATTCTACCCAAAAAAAGAAAAGAAAACCCAAGTAAAAAGTTGGATGAAATTGTTCGTTGAGCTATTCATTGATAAGAAAAACTGAGATAATTTCCCAGAAATGTAGTTTTAGAGTGTTTTTGAATGTTAAGAAAGAATAACAATATAAACGTAAGATATTAATTGACTGGTTGCTTGAAAGCGTCGTTAAACGCATGATGATAAGATGAAAGATATTTTTTGATAAAAGTTCGATTGCTTTGCATAAATATTTAAAAAATGAAATTGAAATTGAATCTCGCATACCAAAACGAGAAATCCTTGCCTAAATAATGGATGAAATCTACTTAAATTGGATATTTTCACATTTCACATGATGCAATTGTAATCAAGAAAATGTGAAATTAATCATAAATTGTGATAAAACTGACGAAAAGTTTTAATTTTTTTTTTTCATCTTCCTTTGCTTGGAAGAATTTCCTTTTTTATTAAGAAGCTTCAAACAAACATGAATACTTAGATTACATACATGAATCATATTCAAGTAACTCGCAATTGCAATACTCAAAAATCTCTTCTTACAACAGGAAAATTTATGACAGTTCAAGCTCTCTTACCAACATATTTGTTGCTTGTGGGGGAAACAGCAGTTGCGATTCATAAATATTTCAATCATACGCATGGGCATTAAGTTAACGATACAAATACATATTAACAGTACTTAAAATCAATTCAGAGCCGTCCTGATTTTAAAAAATGGCAAATACCAATTTAGATAATTGTTTTCAGTTCTAGTCAGTTTCTGAAAAGCATTTTTTGTCTCATCTCATTTACTCATCATTCATTATTTCCTTGTAGAAAATGTTGAACCCGCAAGTAACTCAAAATGTCACAATTTTTATCCTGTTTGCATTTCATTTGATCAAAGTGAGTTATTTTTGTTTTTACATTTCTCGTCGAATGTTTCATTTTTAGTGTCGTTGATGGGAAACATTTCTCGCCGAAAAATTATAAATTATCAAGAGAATTTAAAATTGAAGAATCTCTATGTTGATGATAAATATTTAAAGATATTTTAAATTTAGATTAAACGCACTGTTTTTCTCAAGCAAAAAAGCACATTTTTCATTGTAATCACAATCGAATATTCATTCACCCTTATTGCTAAGATCATACTTATTCATAATCATTAACCTGCATAACTAACTCTTCACTAACTTAAGTGATTTTTTTTGCTCTTAGTTCATTAAGGTTATTTGAGCAGCTTCTTTCATGCAGCAGCTGATGAATGTAAGAGGTCTTTAAATAGATTTTAGTTAACACTTTTAAAAAAAAAACATCGTAATTGATCCATCATTGATGATTACCGTCAGTATTTTTGTTGTCTCTCTATCTCTCTTCTTTTATTTGGAAATCGTCATATTTCTTTAAGATATTTATGTATCTGATTTTTTATTTGAGATTTTTTTAATCTTCGGATTCCCTTAAAAATGGAATTAAAATCATTTATCGTCCAAACCTACGAAATACTTAACTTAACTATACTTAACCTGCGTAAATAAACCTTGAGATTATAAATTGCTTAAAATTACTCAACCGTGTACCAGTAAGACATAACAGGGCTTTCTTGTATCGTTAATTATAGTTTGATAATGCATAAGTAAGTTTTGCACACTACACTTACAAACGAGAACACTTACTACTAGTAGATATCACGTTTTCTTTTTTATTTTTATTTTTTTTAAACATTAATTTTATAAGCTCATTTTTAATACTCATTGATTTTAATTTGAATATTGAAACAACTAATGATGATAAAATTTTCAATCTCATGCTTGATGATATCTAATAAATACTTGGATGGATTCAAAAGTAAAAAATAAAAATTCATTAATCAACATTGTGATTACATAGAATGAGGGAAAAGAAAAGTAATAAATTTTAAATTTTAAAGCTACTTAAGAATTTAAGAAAAATGAAATTTGATGATAACTAATTAGATTCATACATAAATATTAGGATTTGCATAGTAGATAACTATTTTTTAGAAACTCACTATTTGCAAGATGAACAAAATCATTATTTTATAAAATATGTATTTAAGTATATAAAACAAGAAGAATAATTTGTAGGGAAACTCAAGATTGATGAAAATTGAAATTACTAATACATAGCAATTATCTATCCTGGAAAGAAATAAAAAAAATCCATAATGGTGATTAGGATGCAAATGAAATGAATGGAAATTTATACGTTTGTTTGATTTTAATTGTCACGCACGAATGCCTTAAGAATTAATAAGAAAGATGATGATTAACATTTGTCGCATAGGAATTATGTATTAAGTAGTTGTGTAAATATTAAGAAAATGGATAAAAGAAAGATTAAGATACATTTTGAATTGTGTCAGTTTAGAAGCTCAAAATCTCCCAGAAAAGGAAGCAAAAAAAATGAGTTCGATATTTTGATAAAATAATGAAAGAAAATATTTTTCAAAAGAATGAATAAGACGAGAGAGTAAAATATTTTAAGGATTGCTTTGAAGCAAAAAACATTAATTAATTGATTTAACACCAAAATGGAAAATTTACCAATAGTTTTTTAGTTGAAAGAAAAATGAAAGTGAAGAAAATTTATTTTGTTGTTTAATAATAGATAATTATTGATAGATATTCAGGCTTCTCATTTGTTTTAAATTCCTTCTATTCGCACCCAAAACTTTGAATCTCAATCCATTATACGATCAAATGCATTATTTCATACTTATTTGTCTCATCAATCCCAAAATCTCCCTAATCATAAATTATTGGATGTTGAAACAAACAAAATCAAGTGATAAAGCGAATTTGTTTAATTTTAATTAAAACCACTTTTTAGAAGGTAGAAAAATTTTCATTTTTATTCTCTCTCTCACACATAAACACACAATTTTCAATTCATTTGAATAATTAGTATTAAGGATTTGCTTCTTGTAATAAAAATTTGTAAAATCATATTGTATCATTCATCTTTTTCTTTTCTATTATTTAACTACTCAGATTTTTTTCATTTATCTAATGAATTGCATTATTTTTGATGAGAAACAAAACAATTTATCGAACAGAAATTAAAATTGTTGAATATAATTAATAGAAAGTTGATAATGAACAGAAGAAATTAAACATTTTACGGATTGAACCATGAAAGAAAAAGAAAACAAAATTTGATGAATTATAAAATCCTTAAAATATTATAATTGATATTTGCAAGTAGGAACTAATATTTTTTTACGAAATAAAAACTTATCGATTATGATTAAAGCAATTGTTTTTAATTAAAGATATTTTCAGCTCATTACAATTGTGTTAGTAAATTTATTTACTCGGAAATGCATTCCAATTTTATTGAATGAAAATTTTAGTAAGTTTAACGGATAAATAATTTTCAAATTATCCCGGTTTCCCGGGAAAAACATCCAACATTGCGTGAAACATTGATGGAAAACATTCAGAGATAAAACATTGAAGATTGGATTGCACAAAACATAAGAGAGAAGCATAAGAGAGTCGGCGGCAGCATAAAACAGACGTTGTCAGATGTTTGAACATGACGGACGTATACAAAGTGCACCAACCAAACAATTTTTAGAATTCTGTTAATATTTTTTTATCTGCTGATAAGGAATAATAAAATAAGTGAAACTAGTGTATTTTTTCCGAGGTGTTTAAAATATTGATTCAATCATTAGATGTTGTAAAATTCATCAAAAAATATTGATAACAAAGTGAATACAACGTTTTTTCCCAAAAAATCTGATGAAAGAAAGTGTAAGATGAAAGAAAAAATGTGTAATTAAGTGTAGTCGCAATTACATATAAATGTGATGCGGATAATCGTAAACGAAAGGCAAAAGAGCCGGAAAATTTCAAAGAGAAATCATTCTAAGAATACGAAGGAACTTAAGAAAAGCTAAGAAAGAGAAAAAAGTAATTGGTTTCAGACCTCAGTGAAGAAAACGAAGAAAGACACCATAAATAAATGATGAGAATTGCATTTGGATTAGTTTACTTTGGATTGTGTCTGGGTGAGTTTTTATGGTCTCGCAAGAATGTTTAAGAATCTAAATGGTAGCGGACCATTAAAAAAAATTAACGAATTCTCATTTGTTTGCAAAAAAAAACTTTGCATTATTCCAAAACATCACTGACAAGCTTCTTGTCATCATTATAAAAATCTCAAGTCCTCCTTTCTGTATTTTTAGTCTCTGTAAAAGCACAAATCATTGAAATTTCTCGTGAATTAATTCATGTGGACGATGATGTAACCCTCAAATGTCTCCTTCCTGACAATGTTGCAAACACCAAAGATGTCTCAAACTATATTTGGTACTTAAACAGTAAGTCTCGTCATCAAGAGAAAGCAAAACATTATTGATTTTCTCATATTTTTTTCTTAACCATTGAGATGTTTTCATTTTCATTCTGTTCTTTCCACTTCTTCCTTCTTTGTAATAAAAAATTTCTGCAAACAGAGAAAAAAATCTCTTCCACCGAACATTTTGAGCAGCGTGACAATGAATTGAAGATAAAAAATATTGCAAAGCATCTGGAAGGCTATTACAGCTGTTTGATTGAATTTAGAACTAGTGGAATGAAATTAGAAACTTTACCCGAGTTAATAATTATTTCTGGTGAGTAAAACTTTATGTTTTTGTAAAATCAATAAGTAAAAGTAATTAAATTAAAGATAAATTTGGTAGTGGCAACAGAAGCGTTGTCTTAGTAGCATTTTTCATTTAATATCTTAAACACACTCAACACAAAAGCTCGTAAAATTGCATTATTTTTCAAGGCTTATCCCTCCACAAGAACTTCTATGAGAAGGAAAACATAATAGGAGCCATAAATTTTCCACTTCTATTGCTGTTAGGGAAACTGAATTCAGAACACGACGCAATTGAAACAAGGAAATTAACGTTTGGGCCGCTTTTTGAGCTCTGCAAAGTTTATTTTTTTGTAATGAGTCAACCCTCTTAGTCTCTTCTCACTCAAGCGAACAAAAATTCTGACTTGAAAAAATGTATTCGAGTATAAATTCATGAAAGGGATGTTTTCATAATTTTGTCATGGATCATAAAGAACAGCAGCACTTTCCTAAATGAAACATTTTCGTTTCTCACAGAATTTCTGAATCAACCCCTTGAGTAATAAAATTTTACGACTTTTTTATGTGTTTTCACCGTTGCCGGGGCTGCTTTTCGCCTGCCGATATCCTTTCGTATTCCATAGATTAGCATTTTGTTTGAATGCATGCAAGATGACGTTTGCCCAGTCGATGTTAAATGATAAAGCGCGCGAATATGTTGGTGTCGCACTCTTTACAGTAGGAAAATAGTTTGGAAGGGGTTTTGATAAAACTAAGGGTGATTTTAAGTAAATATTATTATAAATATTTATAAACGTTGAAAATTGATATTTCAGTTGAAGATTGACTCGCATTGACGTAATAATAAAGAGGAAAAAGGCACAAGTTGAGACTTAAAAGATTAATCAGATTAAATATAAAAAACTTCCATTTAATGGTTTTAAGAGTTGTTCCAGTTTCGATTTGTTCTGATCTGCTTCCAATGCTCAATCCGTAATCTCATACTTAACACTATTAGTCGAGTTTCTGGATTCATTTAATTAAAAATTTTCTTAATGCAATCGATTTCCCTGTTAAATTGTTTGAAGCTGATGAAAGCCGACAGTTTATTTTTCCAGCTCGAAAAAACTTTATTTTGGTGTGTTTGTGAAATGCTTTTTCTAACGCATTCTAAAGAAGAAAACATTTTGTTTATCTTATCTGCATCTCTAAACAAAAAAAAACGATCAAAGAAGTAAACTTGACGGAACAATTACGTCTAACTATTTAGATTAGGAATTCATTTTTATTTAGTCGAAATGAACTTTTAAAATTATGACTAATGGATAATTTCTTTCCTGTTAAATATGAGTAAATATTTTTTGGGTTTGTTTTTCAATCTGTGAAGATATCATTATTGATTTTAAATGTTGAATCTCCATTTCAATATTTTTTTCTAAATATTTCCTGATATCTAATTGCATCGCATTCTATCTTTCCGTTCTTACCTTTAAACTTTTTTTTCTCATTGAAAATTAACATAAACAAATAGACAAAAAAGGTTCTTCAACAACATCTTGTTCTTTCAACTCAATATTTACTTTGTTCCATTCAAATGAACGAGTAAAATGCAATGCAGTTAGTTTTGTTTAAAAGGTTGAATGTCTAAGAAGCGAGATGAACAAAACTTCCTTTTTCTTCGTTAATGACGTCGTTTTGATCTTATATATGATTTTATTGGATAAATGTTAGAAATGAAAACTGCATTAATTCTCAATAATAAATTTTCTTTCACCTTACCTAATCATTTCAGAAAATTCCCATAAAGTTGAAAATCATGATAAGTTGGATTCGCCATGTTCATTCAGAATTCCTAAATTATGTCGCAACAAACGGAATAAAAACGAAGAAGGTAATTATAATTGTTAATAAACTTTACTTCACTCTGTCATTTGTGAATATTCACTTCCTATAATTAAATTTAATTTAAAAGATCTTAAAGCAGATCAAAACTTTTTTTCTGAATTGTTTAAGATTATTCGAATTCAATTTAAGAAACGTTTTGTAATTTCAAGTAAATTAATAATAAAAAACTTTCCTTTCTCTTCGTTTTAAGGACGTCTGAAGTTTACAGTAAAACCTTTATCTAAGAATGTGGATCTTGGAACATCAAGCAAAGTTCATTGCAAAGCTCCAGGCAGTACAAGAATCTATTGGATGAAAGATTCTGACGATAGACTACCCAACGATGTTGAGGATAATAATGGTACGCTTATTATCAGTGATGTGAAATTCGAACACAGAGGAAACTATACGTGCGTTGCATCAAATGATGAAGAATCAATTAAGACAACAATCGAAATCAGAATTCTTCCCAAGTTTGAAATAATTCCACCCAAGAGTCTCGAAGTTGTTGAACTTCAATCCGTTTATCTCGACTGTGTTGCTTCTGGTTCACCTCCACCTACTATTAAATGGGATCATGAATCAACTATCATCAGCACAAATGAAGGGGATGATGGTCGATTCAAAATATTCGAAAATGGAACTTTATTACTTCATGAAGCAAGACAAGACGATGCTGGAATTTACGGATGTTTTATTGGCAGTTCTGCTGGTTTTAAACGTGCTGAAGCCATGTTGATTGTTAAATGTAAGTAATTGAGAATAAATAATTATTTTAATTAATTTTATTATCATTTCTTTCTGTTCCGTTTATAGCTATGGATTCACATTCATCATTTGAAGACGCAAATCAAGAAGGAGGCTTCATTATGTCAAAAGCAGTTTTAATGACATGCCTCGTTGCCTTAATTTACATTTCTCTTGTAGTTGCTTTGATGCTTTGGTGTCGAAATAAACGACAAAAGTCTCGCTTAGAAGACCCAGAGAATAAAGATGTAAATGATGATACTGCCAGTGATGGCGATGATGGTGATGAAAAAGAGGTAAGAAGAGTTTTCTTTTATTAATTCGATAGTGATAGTGATAGCAATAGAACATTCATTAAATCTCATTACCCATCCGTCCTCCCCATACATTTAATTATTCATCCAGCCGCTGAATCATGAAACTCAAAATTCACGTAACAACAAAGCTCATCAACAACATGTGGAGAAACAAAAAAAACTCACCAAATCACCTTCATCAACACTTATCATTGATCATTTGATGATTTCCTACGATCGTTTGCTTGATTTAACCAAAATAGGACGCGGTGAATTCGGAGAAGTTTTAACTGGTGCAATGCTCGAGTCAGATGTTCCATCAAACTCATCAAAATCATCCAACAGGGAGAATAAAAGTGACGTAAATGAAATCAAACCCCAACATCGTTTAAACATTTTAGTGAAATCTTTGTCGAACATCAAAAGCGAAATATTTTTCGTAGAATTTCGACGACAAGTTGACTTGTATCGTGCTGTTGATTCGCAGCATGTGATTAAGCTTTTTGCGTTGTGCTTTGAAAAAGATCGTCACTTTATGATTTTAGAACATGGACAAGAACTGAAAACATTTTTAACTAATGAACAAGCGAAATTAACACCTCAGATGCTTCTCAAATTTTCAAGAGGCATTAGTTGTGCAGTTGATTTAATTGCAAAATTGAAATGGACTCATAGGTTGGCATTTCTTTTCATCCTTTTTTTTCTTCTTCTCTTTATTCATTTTTTTAATTTATTTGCAGAGACATCGCACTTAGAAATTGCATCATAACTCATGATTCAATTGTGAAGTTGTCAACTATTTCACTATGCAAAGATAAACATGCCAATGAATATTTTAAACAAAATAATAAGATGATTCCACTTTCCCATCTTGCACCGGAAGTTATTGAATCGTCTTTGTACTCTACAGCGAGTGATGTATATGCATTAGGCATCACTCTGTGGGAAATTTTGAATGAGGGTCTTTTTCCATTTGAAAATATTACTGGTGATGAATTTCTTCAGTTAAAACAAAACAATTCTGTCGATTATCAGTCACTTTTCAATAATGAAAAGGTGCCTAAGGAGCTTCAAAAAGTTCTAGTAAGTACAATTTAACATTATGAAACATGAACATTTTGTAAGATTAATTTTTTTATAGCTTGAATGTTGGTCGTCCTTACCAAATGAACGTCCGAAACCAGAAAATGTAATCAAGCTGCTTGATGACTTGATTGGTAAAGAAAATAATTGTGTGACAAATGGAATCGAACATTAAATGCAGAACCAGATTTAAATTTCAAAGCAATTAAGTATTAAATAGGATTTTAAACGAGTCTCTTTGATAAGAGTTGAGTGACATGAGAATACTTAACATTTTGCCAAGTCTTCTTTTCATATCGATCATTATAAGACAAACTTATTTGTCTGTCGTTAACATTTTTGATATCTATTTCAAAATAACTTAACTACAAGATTAATATTTGCTAGTCTCCTGCATTATGAAATTCTGTGCCATGTATTTTTACGGCAAGTTATCTATAATATAATTATAAAAATAATAATAATAAAGTAATCTAAGAATAAAAAATTAAACGGAACTTTTAAATTTGAATAAACCTCACAAATGTTTTATGAAACTGTTGAAAAGATCTCAACATTTATGAGAAAGCCTTCTAAGAAAATAGGAAGGATTCGCAAGTAAGGTTTATTAATAATTATTTAAATCTTAATTATAGTAGAGAGTACCATGAGAATAAACCATAAGTAAAAATAAAAGTTTCTTAATTACATTTGAATCTATTAAGATTGTTACATCACTGGAATCCCCAGCTTTTCGTCATTTTTTCTCTCTCTACTTTTTGCTCTCATTTTTCATTCGTATTCTACGTAACGTCGAAACAAGTCGCAAAATTTATAATGGCCATGAAATTAATATGTTAAAAGTCAAATACAATTGATTATTGTGTGTCTTAAGGATAACCGAAAGCTTACTCGTCGATAAAACTTAAAAAAAGAGTAAAATCTATAAAAGGAAGGTCTCGAAAGGGAAAGAAAAGACCGAGAATTTATTGCTTATTTTGAGGCGTCATTACAAATCTTGATTAATTTCTAACAAAGTAACGGTGCATTGGCTTTCTTTACGATACGCCTTTTGCCACTGAATCCATCGACTTCGATTTCAAAAGAATTAATCGAGAAATTCGCCCTAAAAATTTGCTTTAACTTAGTCCAAATATGGCCGAGCCAGATAGTGAAAAAAGGTTTGAAATTCATTAAAATTTTTGTAAAAGTCTTAAGAATTATGATAATGGGATCATTTGACGTTACGGGGATCCTTCTATTCGCTATAATTATCAATTTTAAAATTAGAAAAATCCCGAAAATGGATGAAAAAACGCGAGAAAGTGAGAGAGAAATCATCGTCATCATCATTAATTTGTTGAATTGGTATTGGTGAAATTTGACACGTTAATTATAAATTCATTTAAATGTGAACAGCTCGTTTAAAACTATTATGTGATGTCAAATGCTATCCCATTTAATATTTTCAACGTTTTGTTGAAAACTTTTATAGAATTTCTGTAAAAGCTGTTTTTAATGATTTTTTTTTACTCTCAATGTTAATGATGATGTGGACAGCATTAAGGGGAAAGTGACAAACACATATGCATTGAGCAGCTAATATGGAAAACAGTCATGAATATGGATATTGTTCCCTAAATAACTCGACGATGTTTTTTCCCTCTTTTTCTCTTGTTTTTATTGCTGCGTTTCCAGTGCTAAATGTGGAATAAAAAAAACTAAAGCAAAAGTTTCATTACAATGAAAATCCATGATGATTTAATGCTTTCCAATGAAAATTATTAAATATATGTTCATGAATGCATCAATGACACGAAATTTTCCTTTTTTATTTAGCATAATTATTGAAGATGAGGATTTGGAGGATGGCGAAATTGAAGATGACGATACCGAAGATTGTATTGTTGTTGAAGTTATAAAACCTGCTGAAATCATAAAATCAGATGATAAAGATGAGCATAAGAAAAAATCTTCATCATCAGATAAGAAATCTTCATCAAGTTCATTAAATCGAAAGGAGAAGGGAAAAGATAACGAGGAGGATGATTTCATGTCAAATATTGAACAAATGATAGCCGAAGGCTTGAAAAAGAGCGGAATTGAGCCACCAATGCCGAATGTTAAGAAACAAATGGAGCCGGACTCAGCACAAGATCGACGAACAAGTCGTAACTCCCGAAAGCGAAAGAATCGAAGAGATCGTAAAGAACAGAAACGGGAAAATAGTTCAAAAGTATTTTTTCTTTCTTATTTTTTCGTCTTCGAAATGTTTTTAAAATATTTTAATTTTCAGAAGCGATCCAGGGTAAATGAAAGTGACGGTTTGTACATGGTAGGTGGAAGTCCCGATCAATCTTGTAGTGAATCAGACGGTGGTGAATCACATGACGATGACAGTTACGATTCCGAAGAATATCATCGAATGTCTTATGAAGAAAGACGCAACAGAAGACGAGCAGCAAATAAAGACAGAGAACGTGATCGCGATAGGCGTGATCGTGATCGTGACCGTGATAGAGGCAGAGATCATGACAGGAAGGAAAAACGGAATCGTGAAAATGAGAAAGAAGTTTGTTTAAGATTTGCCGAATTTGGACATTGCAATGACGTAAGTTTCTTCATTGATTGCCAGGAAATGAATATATTTCTAAATCTTTGTTAATTATTTCATTTCAGGATGACTGCACTCGTGTTCATGAAGTTCGTCAACCAAAAAAGATGGAACTTTGCAAGTTTTGGCTCATGGAATGCTGCGCTAAGAAAGATAAATGCTCGTACATGCACGGCGATTTCCCGTGCAAATATTACTATCTGGGACTGAAATGTATACAGAAAGATTGTAAATTTTTGCATGGAAAGCCACTCAGTGAGAACTTGAAAGCAGTTTTATTGAAGCATTTAGACACAGCACCGAAAGAAATTTTAGGAGATTTTCCACGTCTTGGACGAGAAAGTTCGACCAAATTAATTGCACAAACACACGTGAAGCTTTGTCAAGAATTCAACATTCCCTTACCTGAAACAGAGAAGGAAAAAGTGAAAATCCCGTCACTTCTCGACATGAATCTTAAGCCACCAGATGGAAGAAGTGAAAGAAAAAGTTTGAAAAACAATTCACGATGGTTGCAGAAGGAACGAGAATGTTCTCCTGACTTGATCCAAAAAGCTTCAAAAGTTGAAGGACCAGGCGATGTCCAACTTGCTAATTTAGGAATTTTAAGTGAACAACAAATTTCGGCCATGTCAGCCATTGGAGTGATTACTGTTAATCACATTAATAATTTGACTGTAGCTCAGCTCAATGATTTAGGTCTTAGTTTAGCAACAATTGGAGAAATTCAAGCAACAGCAATGAACATTAACAATCAAAAATGTTCACCAAATCAAACAGAATCAACAAATAAAATAGAAGAAGTAACTGAAAAAGAAAATTCATCAGCACAATCATCGACTTCGCATGCAGTTGCTGATGTTGACTTACGAGAATCATCACAACAACAGAATATTAGTCAAAATATGGATGTTGATATGCGAGTGTTACCAACAGTTGAACCACATAAAGAATCTCTCAATTCTCCTGACACAATAATGTCACCCAATCAATCAGATGCTGATGAAATGTATAAGAAACCTGTCACTCCATTACAACGTCCTTGTTCGAGTGGATCAACAATAATGAGTCCTCCAAGAGGAATCGACTACTCGCAGTACTTAAAAGATTCAAATTTGAATAATGATGATGAGAATGAAGACGAGCCTGGCTTGAGGATTGACGAATCTTACTGCACCAGTGATTACGAATTGGAAGATAAAAAAGATTCGCAATCTGAGGATGATCAAGAAGATCAAGCAGCAGTGCCAAAATTCAATATGCCTTTACTTCCACCATCGTTTAACACAAGTGACTTCCTAAAATCATCACCAGTAACAAAAATTGATATAAGTTCGTCAGTCTCGCAACTTATGGAGAGTAAAATATCAAAATCACCTTTGAGAGATCCACGAATGCGTGATCAACGAGCACAAGATTCTCCTTCTCCATCAACATCGACATCATTGTCAAAAGATTCACAAAATATCACTGAAATCAGTTCACCAAGTTATCGAGATCCAAGACAAAAGTCGAAAGAACCGCCACAACAAAGACTGTCGATTTATGAAATTGAATCGCCATCGGAAGATGAAGATTTAGTTAAAATTGGCGGTGATAAAGATATGAGAAGATTGCCATCGTTCTTACGTGATCCTGAGAATGGTGACGTTGATCTTCGAATGCCTTTCATGAACATGTCGAATTATGTACCAGCTACAGAGATCGATGCATCTTTTGGCACGCACATTTTCAAGAAATATGAAGTGAAGGTTGTTGATGTCCCGAAACCTGATTATTCTGAGATTCGTCGAAGCTTTAGACAAACAGAAACGACTCATGATCCGAGATTGAAGAAGTTGTGTGGGATTGTTGATTTGAATGAGCCAGCATCACCACCAAAGATAAGTACATCAACTACATCTCTTCCTTTAGATCCACGTAAACGTAAACAAAAACAAGAATCGAGTAATGATGACATTTTGGGACAACCAAAGAAGCTTCAAATATCAACAATTCTTCAAAATTCTAAAAATTACAACGATCTTAGTTCAAGTCAGAAAATGGTTGTGAATGAAGTTTTGGCTGAATTATCGAAGCAACTTAAATTGTTTCACGCTGATTCATCGCCAAATAAAATTTTTGATTCCAGTTTCATCACACAACGGCCAAAGTTACAACAAATTCTTATTGGTTTAGGTGTTTTTATTAATGCTGAAGGTGATTTTGAAGAGTTGAAAGATATGCCATTAATGACAATTCCAAGTATTCATCAAATGCCACCAATGATACCAAATCTTCCACCTCCTAATTTAATTTCATTGAATCAACCTCCGCCAAGTTTATTCTCCAATACAATGCGCCCGAGTTTGTTAGGATTGGCTCCAAATCTGCCATTTGGTAATTTCGAGCAGCAAGACTTGAATGCTCAACTTATGAGTCAAGGTTTACCTTTTGGTGGGAATGACCAACAATTCAATAATAACCGAGAATTCGTAGGTAATCAAAATAACCGAAGAGATCAAAGACAGCAAAATTCAAATTTTCGCAATAATTCAAATCGCAATTTTTCACGACATAGGCGGAATTAATCAATTGCATAAAATGTAGATAATGAACTTAATTGTTAATGATTCATGTAAAAGATAGCTTTTAAATTCATCTATTAATGTTTTCACTTCTTTTATGGCTATTTATGCTGCAGATAGATCCGAAATTCAGTTAAAAAAATATTTTTATGAAATTGACATTAAGTAGAATGAAATTTCAATTTATGCATCTTTTTTTTTTAATTAAAGTTACATTTATATTTATTCATGGTAAACATAGGTATCTCTATGAAAAAAATTACAATAATAAATGCTGATATTTTATTACAAAAAAAAATTCTTTCATTTCAATGATTGGAATTTTTTTTCAGAGATTCGTTAATAAAACATTCAAATGGTCAGACTGACAATGAAGCTCAACTTAATGTTTTCGAAAATTGAGTTCAATCGAATACATACAAAAAAAAGACCCACATAGGTAGTGCTCCGATATTTTATTAAAAATATTAATATTTTCGGCAATTTCATCAGTTCATATTATAATATATTAATCTTCAGTAAATGTGTCCATAAAGGTGAGTCATAAAAGTGTTTGATAAAAGACAATCTTGACTTGGAAACCAAAAAGAAAATTTTGTATTTCTGAGTCATAAATTTTCTTTTGAGCAAGAAAAAAAATCTAAAACGAAAAATTTGTCAACAAATTTAGCTTCACTATCCTTGGTTGTGTTTAATGTCAGCTTGAGCAATTAAAACAGTGCTTTAATTATTTTTTTATCTATCACAATTATTTTTATATCTGACTTTTTAAGATAAGACCTTAAAGTGACCTAAAATTATTAAATTTACCGAAATTGTTGATGTGCTGCTCCGAGACATGAAAATTTATTTATAGAACAAGGAAAGAAAAGAGAAAAGATTTTAGCTTGCTGAATTTCCCTTCCAAGTTCTCATTCATTATTTTCTTGGATGTTCTGAATCTTCACAAGTGATGAAAGATAACAAAAACATCGAAAGAATTCACAATCAATACATTGAAATTTTTCGTCTTTTACATTTATCTTTAGAATAATTCGATAGATGGATAATACGATTGTCCAAGCAGAGTTTCCCTTCAAAGGCTCTAACAATGACGAACTTTGTTTCAAAAAAGGCGATCTCATAGTGTTAACAAATCGTGACGATGGTGGATGGTAAAATTATTTACTTTATAAGTTCAAAACATATGTGAAACTTGATTTTTTCAGGTGGGAAGGAACAGCTGTTGAAACAGGAAAGACAGGATGGTTCCCTTCCAATTATGTTTTAGAATATAAGGCGCCAGCACCTCCCACAGAAACAATTAGAACAGTTGAAGAAATTCAAACATTTCGAAAAGTCGTTTACAATGACTTACTTGAAAGTGAGAAGGCTCATTGTGCTGAACTTCGTGGTTTGTTGGAGAATTTTCTTGAGCCATTGGAATCCAGTAAAATGTAAGTTAATTTGTGTAACTCAACAATCATAGAAATAATTTTTTCTCTCTTAGATTGACCTCAGATGAATATGCTCAACTTATGTGCAATTTTGTCGAAGTTGTCAATTTACATGAAGAACTTCTCAATGATTTAGAAGAATCAAATGATCGCATTGGTAAATTGTTCCTGAGCAAAGCGCCAACAATGAAAAGAATTCATCACACATATTGCATAATGCATCCAAAGGCGATCGTCATTGTTGATAAGCATAAAGAAGATTTGAATGGCTTTATGGAGAAACAAGGAGCAGCTAAGCCAGGAATTCTTGTGCTTACCACAGGTTTAAGCAAATGCTTTCGACGTCTTGATAAATATTCCGCGATTCTACAAGAACTTGAACGTCACATGGAAAGTGGACATCCTGACAGAGGTGACACTCAAAGGAGTATTGCAGTCTTCAAAGACATTGCATCGTCAAGTTCAGCAATAAGACGACAAAAGGAATTGGAGCTGCAAATCCTAACTGGGCCAATAAGAGGATGGGAAGGTGAAGAATTGTCTACAATGGGTGAAATAATTCACATGGGATCGGTGGCTGTTGGGAAAGAAGTAAGAATTACAATCAAAGCGTATAATTGATTTAAAAAATGTTTTTATTTCAGTATCAAGATCGATATTTCATCTTATTGCATCAAAACCTGTTGATTCTCAGTGTTAGTCAACGAATGTCAGCATTTAAATTTGAAGGAAAAATTCCTATAACTGGAATTAACGCGATGCGCCTCCCAGACACAGACACGATAAAAAATGCTTTTGAGATTACTGGTCCGTTGATTGACAAGATTCTTGCCATATGCCAATCGTCGAATGAAGCTAATAAATGGGTTGACTTATTGGGAAAAAGTAATCATGGATCGGGTGCCATTGACATAAAAAGAAACACAAGTTTCACATCTGGATGTGGAATTCACTTGCAATCGAATGTAAGTTGAAACTTTTTTCTTATTCTTTTTTATTTTTGGTAGATGATTGTGGTTTGGGTGAGATAAGGAAATAAGAAACTACGAAAGTGTGAAAATACCACAAAAAGTTTCGTAAATTCTTCATCAATCATTTCCAATTCTTTCCACACCACAATCAGTTAGAAATTTATGCACATTCTTAATGAAAAAAGAAGCTACAAAAACAGATTTTTCTATATTGCAAATAAATTTGTGTCTAAGTTGAAATCAACTTTTAAAATACGTAGAAAAAAAATCAACTTGATTCGCGTGGTTATTGCATCGATTCAAGTCCATCGTTTGAGATTGATTATGAATTTAATCAAACACTTCCATCGAGATATTATCCATCGGCTGCGCCGTATGCAGCTTTGACTGCCTATATAAGAGACATGATAAAGGAAAGAGTATTGACGAGATTTATAGTGAAAGCCTTGTTATATCCTGAATTCCTGTGTGATATTGATACGAGTAGTGTTGTGTATCGTAAAAAACAAAGAACTTTTGTTCGAATGTATCGACACGAGAACGATAATGAGAATGACGAAAGTAGTGAATGTGAAAGTTCCCAAACTGAATCAGATTGTCGAGTTTATAGCGATGTGAAATATAAAACAGGAAAAGTAGATTCATGGGACAGAACGACAATTTACGAAAGCTTTATTGATCATGGTGAAGAAGCTGGTGACATTTCTTATCAACGTTTACATGATTCAATCAGCAGCTTTTGTTTTGTTACTGGCTGTAATTCATCTTCGTCCCATTCATCATCAAGAGAATCTTTTATGATTGGATCAATTCCGTTGCAATATGTTGAAAGTCGTCAAGAAGTGAAAGGAAATGAAAATGACAATCCAACGCATCTCACAACAACAAAAATGAATCTTCTTGAAATTAAACAAAAGTCAGAACAGTCACAAACATCCAGTTTTGAGCATAACTTTAATAGTGATACAGCGTGGAAGCATCAAGCTTTTGAAGATCTTCTGAATATTCAAGAAGATCCATCGAAACTTCAAGATGGAAAGAAAACATTGGGATGGAAACGATTAGAAGAGAAGCATCACAGCATGCCTGTTCAATTTGTTGGTAATCGCTTTAATGAGTCATCTCTCACTCGAATTTATATTCCATCATGCAAAAGTCATAATGAAAACGTCAAGAATCAACTACAAACACCTTGTAATAGTTTCGAAGAATCTGAACATTCCAATTCGGTTGAAATTTGTCGCCAGTGGAAGGAAGTCACCATTGATGCACCTGACAAACTCACCGCAGAAATTTTGTATAATTTAGAGCAATTCGAAGGAAGCTCAATGAAGATTGAAAGCAAAGCTGAGATTGAAATGAAACCTTCGTCAATTGTTAATGCAACACCGCCTGAAACTTCATTCATCGATGAGAGATTATTTGATCCTTTAGTCATGCCATCAACAGCTCCATCCACAACCATATATTCAAGTGATTCTGATTCAGGAATGGCTGGAAGCTACACGCTTTCCCCATCCGATCAATTTACTTGTCATCGAACTTACAATAGTCACAAACACAACACAAACGTCACTTCGTCAGCAATTGATTATTTTGCGCCACGAACTGTTTCGGATGCTTCTGGAAATTTGCATCATAACGAAATGATGATGAAAAGACATAAAATTCGGGATGATGATTTAAATGAAGGCGAAAATGAGAGCAAAGTTATTATAAAGTTTGAAAGTGGTGTGAAGAATTCGTCAGAATCAAGCAGCAAAAATGTTTTTTACTCTGGAATGTACGCTCATTGGTGGAAGAAGGAAAAACTGCCGATTGAGATACTTGAATCGATAATGAAGGCGGTGGAAGGCGACGATATTGATAATCAGGAGAGAGGTTCAGGCAAGAATTAAAAAATCGCTTTAAAATCCAATTTAATGATGTTGCACTTTCTTGTTAATCTTTTTTTACCTCATGCAATTATGTTTTCAATGATTGAGTTATACATAAATATTAAATCTTTACTAAGAAAACGAATTAGATGAAATAATTTTGTACAGTAATCTTACCTTAAATTAAATTCATTGCATCATTTCAATGACAAAGGAAAACAACTTACATGCGTATTTCGGATGGAAAGATGTTTAACCACATTTTTTTAGTGACATCATCATTAATTGTTGATTTTTAACTGCTGTTTTGTTTTGCCCGAGCCTCATCCTTGATCGTTTTGATTTCAATTTGATGCGATATCATCATATCTAACGCTTAATCAGCTTTCTTTTGTTAATAAATTGAAAATGTTGTTCATATTTTTTCATTTGATAAGAAAGTTCTTAACATGTGTGAAGTTTCTACTATTGATTTAAAAACGTGAAAAGTTTGAACATTTCATCTGATTTTCTTCTGATTTATTCTTTATCAGATGTCACCGCCAACTCATCTGGGCTCAAGTCAGCCAACACGCAGCAATTCCAATTCTTTGCAACAAACAAACCAACACAAACGAAGTTTGTCGTTCAATCATCACCTCAGTTACAATCAGATGCAAGCTCAGCAGCAGCAGCAACAACAATCGATGCTTCAACATCAACAACAGCAAGCGTTTATGAAGCCAAATGCAGCACCTCAAAATCAACTGCTAACTCAACGAAAAGAAATTGTCCCCACAAGTCCAAACATAAAAAGCACAACATTGAAAAGTAAGTTAAAGGATGGTGAAGGTTAATTCGAATAATAATTTTATTCAATGGTAAATGTACAGATAATTGGACAATTTCTAATCTTCGACCCCGTCGCATCCATTACGTCCATGCTTTACTTACGCATCCAACAGTCAATCAAGCGCACAACTCAAATATGAATTATCAACAAAGAAAGCGCAACCAACATATGAAGAAGATGCTCTCGTTTTGCGCGTTATCGAAGCGTATTCCATCGCTTTTCAGAACACATCGCGAAATACGATCCATTCGGGTGAGTTGACAATCAACATTTTATATTCATGTTCATGGTGCGAGTATTTAATTTATCATTTTCTCATCGTCATTATCATCATCAAGTCATTCTCTAACAGAATTTGCAATTCTACTTTCTAATTTTCCTTCATTTCATCGTATTCGTTATCAAATCATTTCTGAAAATGAATTTTTCATTACATAGAGACGCATTCAAGAATGACGCTTAAGAACATTACAGAGAACAAGCATTTTTCTTAATTATATTTTCGCAAAAGTCTAAACCATGTGAATTTATTGTCATTACAGTAATTGTTTAAATTACTTTCATACAATGCTAATTCGAATAAATAGACATTTTAACTTGAGTACTTTAAACCACAAGAACGTTTCGTTGCTTTGATGTTTTATGGTTGTCCACATGTGTCATGGTTGTTGACAAGAGATCATGTGGCACATCTTGTCGTACTTATGTTGTATGACACAATTGAATTCATGCAACATAACACGACGAAATTCGTTAATAATTATCAAATAAAAGATGTCATTGATTAATCGTTTCTATATGCTTATCATCAAACTCATTTCAAACATCATTTTCATATATAAATAAGGGATGTCACTAAATCAAATTAAACATTAACAAAATGCGATAAACTTTGTGCAATTTATTCCATTGGCCTTTCCAAAGCGACATTTATGTATGTATGAAAAGTTTTCTTTTTTTTATGAATTTTGTTAAATTATCATTTTTTTAATCATCTTGATTGATACTTAAATGAATATGCTTCGCTCAATTTGTGATTGAAAAGAAAGAATCATGATTTTAAGGCAATGCTGTCTGAATAGAATCGCTGACGATCGAAAGTAACTTTAAAAACATTTTACATTTGAACACAGCGTTGCAGCCATTCGCACCATGCCTTCCTATACGTGGAGGAAAGTTGCAATCGTCAAAGCCCTTCTCTTCATCTAATCCCCAACTACCGTACATTTGTTCATCGCTCACTTCATACCATCAACACCAACACGCCAACTCAAATTCGGCGAGTATCAATTCTTCAGCAATTTGGCGTGAAGTTTGTCCAAATAATTTTTATTCTTCGTCAATATCGTCTTTGAGCTCTTCGCCATATAAATCTCGTTTTTCATCGGGAAAAACAGATTTTCGTGCGGCTTCCGAGGAAAGGCCGCCAACTTATCGACCTCAACCGCCAGTTGATCATAACATGAGTTTCTGTGGAAATTTAAAGAAGTTAACATCAAATTACGATGATTATCTGAGCTCACGAGTAAACTCACCCGTGATTTCTCGTAAAAGTTCACAAAATAAACATTTTTGGAGCAAACCTCATTCACCAACACCGCAATTGGTCAAACAAAAGCATTTTAATACCATTGCAGCTGCCAATAGCCGCGAAACTTCTCCTTTCCTATACGATCGACGACTTAATAAATCATTTGAAACAGCAAATGGATTGCTAAATGAAGATGACCAATGTCAGAATGAGAAAAGCTTGAAAAATTCCATTTTCCGTCGATCGTCGACACCTCAATTGCATAGCATTTATTGCGACAGTAGTCAAAGAGATTCAGTAACCTCGTCATGGTGTTGTGGTAACTTTGTAGTAAAGCAGTGGAAGAAAATGAATCAACATTACTGATTTATGACTAGAAAAGTTGCCGATGATATTTTTTCCCTTCATTTACATAAAATAATTATTTGTTTCTCCTTTGTCGAGTGCGGAGAAAGTAAAAGAAAAATAATTGAACTTTATCGTGCCATACATACATAAATACAATGAATTTACTGTTTAGATTGACACAGCATAAAAAAATGTCTAAATAGATAAAAGAAAAATCGTAGAAAATTATTGTCTTCAAACATTTTAATTTCATAGATATATAAAAACTTTTTTTACTTATCACACAAACTAATTGGATAATAATTGAAAGGACACTGTGATATGTATTGTAGATGGAGATGGAACAAAGTTCAACCTCGAGTAGGGTTCTTTTTTTTACAAGAATGTCCAATTTATAAATTTTATAAATATCTTATGGAGAAGACTTGAAAATAGCGTGGGTGTGTAAATTTCTTATTCCTAATTAAAGGTCAACTGTTGTTGATCTCTCCAGGGAAATAAAATCTTAATTATTTTAAATCATGTCTTGACAAATTAATTGAAACTTCTTTCAATCTTTCCACTCACGATATTTTCTGGTATCTAATCTTACATCCTTGTCTTAGATAAGGTGAATGATGTGAAATGGCTGATTCGTAAACGACTTAGAAAATCGAATTTCTTTTTTATATCCAATTTTTAATGTTGAAAGTCAAAAGAAATAATAAAAAAAATTAACAACTAGTCATTTGTAGCACAAAACAACGTTCATTGGAAGTTAATTCAAATTGTTGTATGCAAGAAGGAAAAGTTTAGTTAAAGAATGAAAAGAAATAATCTTATGTTGTATGTTATTAAGTAAAATTATTTCATATTTAGACTCAAACTTGTTTACTTTTACTTCAAATATTCATTTTGAAGTTGTAAAAAAAGTTTCTACTTAATAAATTTGATTTGATGATCGCTGCGAAAGGAAAATGAAATAAACCTGGAATTAAAATTTAAATTCGAAGTCATTTGAAGTTGTTTTAAAGATGATTCAATAATTTTCTTTACAGTTGATGGTGATGACGGTACGACGCCAACTTTAAGACAATTGTTCATGGCCATGCGACAAATGCAGTTCGATATTCAAGACATGAAGTCGCAATTGAATCAAGAAAGAACTCTTCGTGGAGATCTCCAAAGGCTCATCATGACTCACATGGAAAAGTGTGGCATGGGTTCATAAAGAAAATTTAATTAGATTATTTAGGAAAATGTTTTCTTCTTTTTCCTTTTAACGTCAAAAGAAATTAATGCTTCACCAAATGTTCGTTCACAACGAATGATGCTAAGTAGATAAATAGAAATATTAACTGTTTTCATAATTTTTCCGCCAAATTTTATGTAAGTTTCTCTTCAGAGTTTTCTTTTTCGAAAGTTTTTAGATTTAAAACATTTAACACAAAATATTTTTATAAAAGTTTTAACATTCAAAGAATTATCTAATAAAGTTTATTTATTTCTTGACAATTCTAAACGAAAATATTTTTCTGATGTTTCTAACAATCTTCAATTATGAATTCGACGCGCTAAAAATGAAATTGTGTCAGTACGAGATTTAACAGAGAATAATAAAGCTACGAAGAGAGCAGTCAAGTTAATAAATCCGACATAAAATTATTGTTTAATTGAAGTCTAATTCCTCATGAGAACGAGAACACTGCTGGGAATATGACGCCGAATATCTACATTCGTTTAGTTTATGTCTTTAGTGGAATTAACTCAACTTCTTCACGTGCCATTTCTTCTGCTTGCTTTCTTCTGTTTTGTTTTCAGTGCGATCGACAGAGATAGCGATAGAAATAGAGAGAGATAGAGATAGAGAGAGAAAGAAGTTACAACACAAATCTTGTCTTTAATTAAGTTGGTGAATTAATTTGTCTATTTTTGGTGTAATTAGCACGCCGATTACTGGGAATTGTGACAATTGAGATTGAAGGTGACAATAGAAATATCTCAACATTCAATCTGGAATCTGCTTAGATGTTTAATGATGTTCGCTTCATGACATTGACTCCATTCTCAATTTAAGATTTTGACTTCTTTTCACTTCTTTTTCCCTTCTTTCTTTGACCATGAAACGACATGAATGACCAATCAGCCAGCCAACTACTTCGTTGACCTAATGACAAATTAATAATTTATGATCAGACATTATCAAGTTTCTATTCAAAAGTCCACCACATGCGCATGTTCATAATCTTCAGTTTAATTAAATGCACTATCATTTGTTAGTGATAAAATTGAATCGAACAGGCACAACTTCATACAATTTGTAGCTCTACCAACCTCGACAAGATCGCCTTCATCTGCACTCGATTATCACGATCGACTTGCGGTTTCGTTCCGCTTTTACTTTTCTCCCTCGGGCGGTTTTTGAATCAACACTTTTCTTGTTGATGAAATGCAAAGACTCGCATCTTAACAACCATTTAAGAGAATCTTCATCACTTCAACAATGAAAAAGATGCGCAATTGAAGATCGTAACGGAAATCTTTCTCTGATTTTTGAGATAAAAATTAATTTATGTCGTTTGCTTGTTCAAAAGTCTTCAATTAGATTTTCGCATGTTTTCGTTGACAATTCGTGTTAATTAACTTGTACATTCTTCATCACTTCCATTCCAATTCATGTGACACTTCTAAGGTACTGACACCTTTCCAAGTATTAGCATAATTAAGCTACCAACACATATCTTGCCACATTTTATCTTCTCGCATCTTTGCAACACAAACATCAAAGCTCCGCTTAGAGAAAGAATTACAAGATCTTCAAATGATGTTTCAATTCATCATTCCTACGTGAACTCGTTTATCTCTCATTTTCTTTGATCACTTCAAAGTTGAAGTTCATGAGAGTTTATTAGAGAAGCAACATGTGATTAACCAGCTGACGATGTCGACATTTGTGCATTTAAATGCATTTATGAAGAAATGTCAGAGGGCAGGAAGTTGAAGATGTTAATTAAGCATCGCAGACTGAAATTTGATCAACAATTAATGAAACTGGAATTGATGTAAGGTTGAAGACATAATTATGATTAGATTTGGATTTGAACGGTACAGATTGGATGTCGGATCGTTTCTAATGTTACCACCAAGTTGGATGAGATCTCGGACGAGATGTTTTGAATTTCCACGGCTATTTGATCCATTCACGCCTTATGCTCGATCCAATGACTGATTGAAGCCAT